CTTCTCTTCTCTTCTCTTCTCTTCTCTTCTCTTCTCTTCTCTTCTCTTCTCTTCTCTTCTCTTCTCTTCTCTTCTCTCTTTCATACACATTCAAGCCAGAAGACCTTACCCCATTTAAAGACTTGCCTTGTTACAATTTTAGAAGGAGGGAAAGTGAACAAAAGAATGATCCTAAATCGCCTTCATCCCGGCACCACAGATAAAGATGTCCCATTTTGCGTAGTGTTTTTGCAACTCCTTTTCAACGTGCTTTCAGAGGCTCCAAAACTCCCCATGGGTTATTCCGCTTCTTGCTCCGGAGCATCCTTGCTGCTTCCTTGGGGGCCAATCTCGGAAATGGAATCAGTGGCGCAAACAGCAGCTTGTGTTAGTGCTCCTGCCACCCGCTGCCAGCCAGCTGCCCTCCAGTCTGTGCAGCGGCCAACCGAGAGGGGAAAGCCAGCGGTCGGAACCCACCTGCTGCTCAAGAGGGAAAGATGAGGCAGTCAGCTTCCTAAGATTGCCTGTTAGCTGCCACCAGCCGACCACCACACAGCTATACTATGAGCCACAGACCTTGACCTTGACCTTTCCTGCACCATCCACATGACGTCTGACATGCAAGCCCACTGTTACCCTCACCGTGCCAACCCATGTGCTAGGTGTTTTCTGCACTCTGCCTCTGACCTTCCCCATCATGATGTCTTTTTCCAAGAGCTGACCCCACCTGACAACCCAGAGTAAGTATATGAGGTAAAGTTTCACCATTCTTGGTTGCATTTCCTCTGAGACAGATTTGTCTCTTCTTTAGTCACTCCTTGGATATTCAGTATGTGTCGCCAGTACCTGAATCCAACACCACACACCATTTTTCTTCTGTCTTTCTTATTCATTGTCTGACTTTCAGATGCATAGAAAACAATTATGGCTCGGATCAGGCACACCTTAGTCTTTGAACTAATATCATCGTTCTTTAGTGCTTTGGAGAGACTTCTGACCACAGATTGCGGCACGTCTCTGGATTTCTTGACTGACTATTGGTACCAAGTGGATCCAAGTAAATGAAACCCTTTGGGGCCATTTCACATGAACCTACAGCATTTACCTCTGAGAGTCTGAACTGACTCGACAGCAGTGAGTCCAGGGTTTCAGGCTGACATGGATGTTCCTGTCCTTTTGAGAGCATGACCTTTTCCTAGATAGGGTAATCCTGCTGGGCCCAGAGCCAGTCTCCCCAATGCCCTGCCCTGGGGTCATGCCTTGTCCCCACCCCTTCCATCCCCCACTGTCTGGGCACTGGACACTCACACTCTGCTGTCCTCCCACCCCATGTTGGCACTCTTGGAGAAAGCCAGACGCATCAGTTATAGGGATTGCCATTCCATTCATCCAAGGAAGGACCTGGATGCTGGTCCTTCCACCTCGTCTACAATGACCTTCCCATCATGTCTTCCCCATCCCAGTCTAGTTCAGCCGTTAGTCAGCTATGCTGGGTCCTCAGTGTCATCTCCTGTGGATCTGTTCAGATCACACACACACACACACACACACACACACACACAACCTGGTTGTGTGCAGGGCCAGGGGATGGATAGATTAAGATGCCTAACTAGACTGCCTCTCCTTGGGTCCCAGGTGTCTTGTAAACCTGCCTTCTCCATGGCAAGGCACTCGCCCCCTGTCTCCTCTGTCTGCACCGTGCCCCCCCCAAGCCTGTGTCACCAAAACGCATCCATTGATCCAGGCTTAAAATAACCCCTGGCATCTGCAGCGAGCCCTGTGGGGCGGGCAGAGCCCGTCTCTGCGCCTGAAGGGCACCCACCCCGCCCCCGTTCTCATAGCTGGAGGCACAGTGTGCTTTGTCTGGGAGTGTGCAGGCACACAGGGGTGCTCCCCCGGGCCAAGTCCTTCCCTGGACCATGCATACATGTGTACAAATGCGTTTAATTGTGTGTTGCCTTGGACACACCAGTCACCACCCAGCCCTCTCTGGGTGCCTGGCCTTGATTTCAGAAGCATGGGACTCTGGAGAGGTCTTGGGCATTAGGGAAAAGCCATACTGGGCCTCAGTTTCCCCACTGCAGAGAGGGAATGGCCAGTTTGCTGGTTCTGCCTAGCCCTGGTAGAGGGGATTTGGGATTTGATAACGAGGAACCCAGGGCTCAGAGCGACACTATGGCTGGCACACTACCAGGAAGGGCCAGAGTCTGGCCTGGAACCTGCAGTGGGTGGCCTGAGCTACGGAGGAGCTGGAGCAGGTGTGACCCAGGGACAGCCTCCCTGCCCAGAGCTCTCCTGGGGCGGTGATGGACAGGAGCCTGTTCAAGCTGAGCCTTTGCCCTGGTTCCCCCGTTTTTGGATTGCCCGTCCAGCCCCTCACACCGAGCGCTCCTCCTCACCCTTCACTTGGAAGCTGAATGGACCTGGTTTGGAACTGCTGCTCTACCGAAGTAATGAAAGTTTTTTATAGGCCTTTACGGCCCTCACCCACAAGAAAGGCTGTTAGAGCTGTAGGGAGGGGTCAACCAACTTCCTCCCCAAACTACCCAGGTCCGCGAGGCTTCTGGGGGTCCCTCTGCCCCTGGGGTGAGAGCATGGTGATGTCACCAGTCCCCCACCATTCTCAAAGACCTCATTCCCAAGTCCACTTTGCTTCCAATTCCTGGAACTGGGAGGTGACCCAAGAAGCAGAAATTCTGGTGGTTCTAAATTGCCTGAGAGCGAAAAGTGCTAGAGCCAGGAGGGGGTCCAGGGGGAGGGCCCTTGCTGCCTTTGTCTCCCAGAGGCTGCTGTGACTCAGGCGCCAGCTGCCCGTGGGAGGGAGGGGGCGCCCGGGTTCCTGAGGTCGCAGGAATGGTGAGACTGGGGAGCTGGGAATTGGGGTGCCGCCTCCTTCCCTGAGTCCCATGTAACCTTTCTGCAAATTCCCTCACCTGTCTCCCCCTTTGAGAGCCGCCAAAGGCGCTGCGCAAAGTCGGAGCTGCCCCCCTGTGGTCAGAGCGCGGGAAGAGACTCTAGAGCGCAGGGCAGGGCGCAGGCCACACAGTCCCTGGGGAGGGTCCTCCCGTCTCCGCCAGGAGGGTCCCCCCGCTCTGGCATCGCTCAGGACGGCTCGGAGCCCGACGACTTGCACCGTCCGCCAGCACACTGGGTCCCCGAGTCCCAGCCCGGCCCTCCCCGCCTCCGAGACCGTCCAGGCCTGGCTGCTGTGCTGTGGACACACGGGGCGAGAACCCTCGAGGGCGAGGAGGGCAGGAGCCTGGGGGCTTGGCCTCGGTTGAGCCCTCACTCGGCCTTGACCTTGCCTTTCCGAGAAGTCTCTGGCCCCTCCCCTTCCACCCATCCCGGAGGGTTTGTGCGGACCCTTCCCCGCCTTGGCCCCGCCCCGCCCCTGGCTTCCCGCCCTGCGCCAGCGCCCGGAGCTCGGTGCCCCGACATGAGCCCCTCCGAATCACTGGCACCACCCGGGATCAGTGCAGGATGCCCGGGCTGAATCTCGTGGACCCCCGGTTCTCCACCGCTGGGGGAACTGGGAGGTGCGGTAGGCCCTTGGCGTCTCGGGACCTGAGGACGCGCAGCGGGGACGCTCCCGGGCTCTCACCACGGGGTCTCTCCTCGTGCCCCACGACACTCCCTGCCCGACCCCCAGCGGTTGCTGCCCATTTCCCCCGCTCCTAGGCCAGGGTCCAGCAGTTCAGGGGAGGCCATGGAGCACACCAGGAGGTGAGGGGCTAAGTACACGGGAATGAGCTGTCCCCCGGCGTGCGAGGCGCTGGGAAGCTGGAAACACCTCATGGCTGGGCCCGGGGAACCCAGCGTGTCCTTCTATGTCTCCCACCAGACTGGCCCAGGGCAGGGTGGCCAGGATCCGCTGGGTCTCACGGGACGGAAAGGAGATGCGTGATGGGAGGTCATGGTTGAGACCTCAGACTCAGATCCCGGTGACATTCACTCCCAGGGGGGCTATCCTAGCACTGAGGGCTCTGGCAGGAATTGTCCAGAGGGCAGCAAGGAGGTGGAGGCACTTGGGGAGAGAACCTATGTGCCGCATCACCCCCACCCAGCGCTCACTGGCCCCGGGAAAGGGGGCTTGTTGGCAGACTGGGAGCCAGGGTACCAGCTTTCAAGGACAGTGCTCCTAGGGGTCAGCCCTACTGAGACAGGAAGATGAGGGGCCTGGCCCTTCCTCATAGGCCAGCTGGGCCTCCTCACCCCTCCCCCGTGGCTCCTGCCCAGGGCTGCCCGGCAGGAAGTGAAAAATGCCTGTAGGAAGCCCCAGGAGGAAGTGAGACTTCAGCCAGCCCCTCCCCCACTTGCTGGGGTCCCTAGGGACCTTGGGGAAACCAGAAGACCCTCCTTCAGGAAAACCTGCCTTCCATATAGTCTCGGGGAGGGGCGTGCCCCCTCCCCCCCGTCAGTTTCTACCCCAGCCAGCAGTTCCCCCAGTCTATCCTGCATCCTCTACCACAAGGGAGTAGGGGCAAGGGTGGAGCCTAGAGGGCCCCCCCCCCCCCCCCGCATCCGTCATGGCCCAAGAGGGCACCTGGGCCAAAGTGTTCTTGTCAGTCAGGCTGCTGACGACCAGGAACTGGTCAAGATATTTTGGAAAGTCCTAAAAAGGCAAGACTTTTAGCACAATTCTCCCAGAAGGGCTCAGCAAAAAACAAATCAAACCTGGAATCAACCAAAATTCTCAGTGGAAAACTGCAGCTGCTGAAAACTTTGAGGGGTGTTAGAGCAGAGAACACTCCCACAATCTGATGGTCAAATCACAACCTTCTATGTATAAAATTATTACAGTTTTGTAGAAAATGCACCAATGGTCATTACTCAGACCCATTCTGGTTCCCCTTTCTGGAAATTCCCAAGTTGTCTACAAAAGTACATCTTGATTTTTAATAAAAATTAATTAAAAAAAACCCCACAAACTCTAACAACAGTGATAATAACATACTGAATTATGGAGGAAGCTCTTGAACACGGCCATTTTTCATTTTAGAATGTAATTTAGAAAATTAATAAAGATAAGAAATTGGGGGGAAATCAACCCCCACAGACAAGCATAAACATTCCCTGACTCCAGGTGGTGCTATTAAAGAGCTGTTTGAGCCCCTGGATATGAAGGATCCTTTTAAAGTGACACCATGAAGAAGCTGCACTGAAATCCCAGAGTTGAGTGGTTCGAATCCACCAGATGCTCTGCTGGATAAGGAGGGATAATCTCCTCCTGTATCAGTCAGATCTGATTTGACGGTACACACACATACAAAAGAATAAGAAGAAGATATAAATAAGTAAATAAATAAACCCCAAAGTGACACCGTGGGCAGATGGCAAGACCCTGTTTCAAGGGAAAATTGTGGCCCCTTCGTCTGTCCTCTGGGGTCTGCTTCTGGGTTTTCCCAAGGAACTGCCATTATTTGCTGGACAATTCTGACACCAAGTCCCTGCTCTCCTGGGCCTCTATGTTAAATCGGGGAGCATGAATTCCCTGGAGTTCCTTCTAGTCTTCTGGGAAATTTTCTACTCAAGCCCCACCCCACCATTTCTCAGAAGAGGAAACTGAGCTCCAGAAAGGAGCCTGGAGCCAGCCAGGGAACAGGGTTTGCATGTCGGGGTCCCTGGGTTCATTCCACCTCCAGGCTCAGTGCTGACAGCGATGGCAAAAAGGTACAGTGTGAGATGGGACAGAAACATGTGGTGGCCAAGGACAGCTCAGACTGACCCAGCTTGGGGACAAAGAGGGAAACACACAGCTGAGCCCATTTTGGGTCTTCCTTTTGCCTGCCACCTGACCCCCACCCCAGCTCTCTGACCCCCTGGGGGCAGGGGCACCACAGATGGATTCAGGAAGCGGGTGGCTGGCCAGAGACTTAGCCATGAGTGCCCAGGTCCCAGGGGATCCATATGCTGCTGGCTCCTGACCAAGCTGGGAAATGGACAGAGGCAGGGTGAGTGTTTGCTAGGCGGCTCTGGTGGGCAGGCCTGGGCAGGGGAAACCGAGACCAGCAAACACACAACAAACGTAGGAAGGTCCTGCAATGAGACGGCGGGATGGAGGACTTGAGCTTTTTAAAAATTTTATTATTTTTGAGGAGAATACACAAGAAAACATTCACCAGTTCAACACTCATCAAATCAACCATTCTCATCCAGGTAGACGTTTCTCCCCCATCAAAAGAAACTCCTTCTCTCCTCAAGTTGCTATCCAATCTTTCCATGGATAAATCTATGGCCATTTTTATCCCATATACACAAAAATAACAAGAAGATAGTTCTTAAAAGAGCGTAATGCCCAAGGCAGACAGAATTTTTACTAGTTAAGATAAACTATTGTTTGCCTTTAAGATTTCAGAGGATATTCTTGATTTAAGGTATAGAGATTTGCCTTTAAAATTTCAGGGGATATTCTTGATTTAAGGTTTTGAGGTTCTTTCAAGGAAACAGTTTTAGGAGTTTATTCAATTTCCGTAAATTCAAGAAGTCTGGTGAGCATTTTAAATTCTGTCCTGCAATTGTTACCCTTTTGATCAGGATTCAACTATAGAATCTTCGATCAAAATGCCAACCTCATCTTTTGCCTACCAGTCCCATGCTTCTTCCAAAGAAACTGTGACAAGTACCCAGGGAGCTGTGCGTGGTGGAATCTGCACCCGGGGGATGTGACTGTGTAGAAGGCAGCAACTGGATGACTATGAATGCAGTGTGGTGTCCAGAGGAGGCAGAGATGGCTTCGACCTCAGGCCCTTCAGTGAGGGGCACCAAAGCTAGACCAGCATCTCCCACTGGGTAAAGACGGAACTCTAGAAGCCTGTATGGAGCAGTTAAGTGACTCCAACACTCAGCGTCAGTGCTTGAGATGGTCCAGCTGGGTCAACGCCACAAGCGTTCTGATTTCTGTGAAAGGAACTTTCTAGAAGCCCCGCATCCTCCCCTGTGTACAGTTCAATATGCTGAAGCTTAGAGACCATCAAGATCCCAATGTGGTCTCTCAGGGCGTGCGCCTCAGTGTTCCCTCGGGTTGAGTTTTTCTAGAAGCTGCTCCTAGGGTGAACATGGCGTCTTAGGTCCCAGCAGGTTCGGCTGTGCTCAGGGTTGACCTGAGACACCGATGCCCACATCTGCACAGTCCATGCACTTTCTTACCCCCAAGTCCAGCACAAACACATTCACACCTGTTCAAAAACAGGACAGCGCTGAGAGCAAGGAAGTCTTGACTAATGAAATGATTGGCAGTTTTAACCCCTCAGAGGTTCTTCAGAAGAAAGGCCTGGCAACCAGCTTCCCAAAGGTCACAGCCTCAGGAAGGCTGGAAAACAGCTTTACTTCACAGCACGTGGAGTTGCTGTGAGTCCAAACTGATTCCACAGCAATTATTTAGAGGTTTTGTTTTGTTCTGTTTTTTTCTTTTTTTGTTGTGTACCATAGAGTCGGATCCGACTGGCACAGGAGGAGATTGTCCTTCCTTCTCCAGCGGAGCATCTGGTGGATTCGAACCGCGCACCCTCAGGACTGCAGCACAGCTTCTTGCCACTAGGCCACCAGAGCTCCCTTCAGAGGGGTTTTTGTTGCAAAGTAAACTCCCTCCTTTCTCTACCTTCCTCCTGTTGTAATGGTGGTGTTTCCACGCTAAAGGAAAACCTTCCCGAGTGGGGCTTCACCTGGTGAAAAGCACAGCTCAGACACAACTTCCAGGGCTATCAGGGACAGCATGGTGAGACGGACACCGTCATGTATAGTGTGGTTCTGTGGGTTCCGCGGGGGCAGCCTGACTCCCTGGAAAGGGGCAGGTGGGTGCTGAAGTAAAAGGTCAAACTCAACATCCAAGCCCTGCTGGCAGTCTCCAGGGAGGGAAGCCTCCTGCCCCCTCCATCGCTACAGTTGCTCAGGGCCGGCTGTCTTGGTGGTCACCAGCTCAGTGGACCCCAGCTCTGTGGCTGGCACGGGGACACTGTGGGCAGGTGGGGAGGTGGCTGGGTCTTCAGGTGAAGGCCAGATGGGCGCTGCGGCATCCACAGGTCCAGGGTTAAGAGTGATGACGTTGTCCAGGGGCTCTGGGGGGAGGGGTGGAGGGTCAGGACTGGGCCATAGCTCTCCCTCCCCCACCTCTGCTCCTCTGCTCGGGAAGCCTCATCTGCTGCACAGCTCAGGGACCCCAGAGCTAATTGATGAGGTCCATCACTGCGGGCTGGGGCACGTGGCAGGCTCAGGACAGGAAGTGCTGCCTGAATACTGTGACTAGGATAAGGCTAGGGACGATGACAGGAGAAGAGACGGGGAGTCCAAGTTGGGGGTCCCACAGGGATGTAAGGCCAGGCCCCTCAGATTCCTCGAGAGCAGAAGCCTCTTCCTTCAGACGGGGCTCCCCAGTGTTGTCTCTTCCTTCCTGGGAGGAGGGCAGAGCTGTGCCCCACCCTCGCACTGTCACCCCACCCAGCCCAGGTTCTCCCGGCAGGCTCTGCCCACCCATCAGCACCATCTCCAGCCCTTCTCCACCCCCAGCGCCAAGCCTCCTCTCCCCAGCCTGCATCTCCCCCTTTCTCACTGTTCTTGCAGCCCCTATCCTAGCGTCCAGCCTCCCCGCTTGGGCTGGGGAGCGCCTCTCCGTCCCCCCCAAGCCCACTCACCGCCGCCGCGGTCCAGGGTCCCCGGGGCCACCGCCCCGCAGCGCCGCCGCCGACTCAGCAGGACCAGCAGCACCAGGCACAGTACCAGCCCCAGCAGCACGGGGGCGCCAAAGAGCAGCGCCGGCAGCGGCAGCGCCCCCAGCGGAACGGCGCCCGCGCCCACTGATTCCTGCGGCTGCAGCGCCGTCCCGGGCGCCGAGCTGCTCGGCCTGGCAACTGGGGGGGAGG